GGTGAAATATTCGAGTCTCAATATATCAAGGCAGGAAAATTCATTAGGATCGAATTTTTTCCCATCGTACTACTATGACCATGGGTTACCAGTGTGGCAAGTTTCAAGTCAAAATTCGAAAGCTGAATTTTGCTCGAAATCCAGTTCAAAAGCGATTTATAACCACAAGGAGTGCCCTCGTAAGACTATAGCAAGAAATTGGGTTACAAAGTGATAAGTGTCTTATGCAATCATCATCATTTTCTTACCAAATCTATATTAAAATCTTATCTGAACTTTTTTTTGTGTATTGAAAAATGTTCTACAAAGTTAATCTGACTCAATTTCAAAGCGAAACAAATAGATATAACAAAGCAATATCAGAAATATTCAAGTGGTTCGCGAAGAACCTTTCACTTTCTGCACACTATTCTCTCGTCCAATTATCTTCACTATTTATTATCAGTTGATTATGAGTGTTGTTCTGAAGAAAGACTGTTTCTAACTAGAAGAAAAAATACGAAGGAAAGTTCAATGTTCTTTCTTTCCTTCTGTTTCCCAAAGATTAGAGTAACAGTGCAAAATCGAAGAACAGGAGAGATGAGAGTAAACAGAGTCATCTCTCGTCTCCACATGAGAAGAAGGGATAGGATCTAAATACTCTTTTAGTCTATTCATCTAGACTTTCGATTACAGTTATCAACAGGGGTGCTACTTTACTTTTACTAATTATTTCATTATCCGATAAAAGTAATAGCGTTTGTTACTTGTTACTGGTAAAAAGGTAATGAATCTTGTTGTTTTATTACTTATTACTTCTTTATTTAATAATTTTACTTATTACTTTTTACTACTTTTCTTCTTATTAATAATAAGTGAAGTAATAAAAGATTATTACTTGAAAAAAGTAATAAGGTAATAAGATTTATTACTTGTTTTCTGATAATAACTAATAAGTTTTATACTTATCACTAAAGAAAAGTAAAGTGACACCTCTAAGTTATCAAGTCTTTGTCGGCAATCATTCTTTATTGTTCTTGTGATCGTACATATGCCACTTTCATAAGCATGATGTATGCACTTGTAGAGAAAATGGACCATATAGCTGATAGACACTAGAATAAACGTGTGACAGTGAAGTTCGAGGTTGGCTTTATCCTCTCTGATTGACTATCTATACATGATCGATCGAAAACGGTCTTGTACATTTATTTTATCCATCTTTGAAGCTAAGAATTCTTAATTGAAATAAGAACTGATGCTGAGTTAGAAGTTAGAGACGACGGGCTGAATGATTGTTATATGTTTGAATGGTGATCTCATTTTTTGACTCGTTCATAAAAGGATCAGTTAAGATACAAATCAGTTAAGAAACGTCTAAGAATTTGGTAAGAAAATGATAAGGATTGCATACGACTTTTATCACTATATGACTCAATTTTTTGTTGTAGTCTTAGCTGAACAACATCTGTACTTAAGGATGTACCACACGTTTACCAAATCCAAATTCATCACACGTTTACATTAATTTTAGCTGTAATAAAAGTTTGCTTTTTCATCTGATGAATTCCTGGCTGAAGCATTTTTGTCACAATTTTACCATCTTCTTATTTACAGCTTCGTATATAATCAAAAATGTCAGGCAATGGAACATTTGGTCAAAAACTTTATGATGGTAAAACAAAAACCATTTATTCTATGATTAATCAACCGGGAATTGTTTGCATTCTACATAAAGATGCTTATCATTGTTTTGATTCGTTGATAAATGAAAGTAGTGGCATCAGATCACGTGCATCTTCCACCACAAGTGTTGGTAGTACAAAGAATAGTCGAAAACAGTCAATGATCAAATCCTATTGCAATATTCAGGGTAAAGGTGCATTGATTACTTCGATTACTACATGCGTTTTTGAAATATTACGTGATGCCATGATACCAACGTATTACGTTGCACCTTATTCTCAACCGAATATATTTATCGCTCGAAAATGTACAATGATACCTATATTATGGATTGTTCGACGTTTAGCTAGTGAGACATATATTAAACGTTATCCAGACATTCGATGTGGTCATCGTTTTACACCACCATTAGTCGAAATTTACTATAAACGTCATCCAATTATCTATAAAAAACCTGTTATGCTGGATTTGGAAACGTATATTGAGATAGATGGAACAGAGAGTATTATTGATGATGATGACGATGAAAACGATGAATCATGTGTAATTATTTGGTCGTATGAACAATTATTAAATGCAAAATTTGATATTGAAAATATGAAAATAACACAGACAGAGGTAGAATGTATGTACGAAACGGTCTGTGCCATTTTTGATATTCTAGAACATGTATGGCTAATTGAAAAAAATTGTCAACTTATTGATTTAAAATTAGAATTTGGTATTACAACAACGAAAGAGATTGTTGTAGCTAATGTAATTGATATTGAAACATGGCATATAATGAAAAATGATTCATCACCAAATCAAAATCAACATTTAACTATGCCACTAAATAGTACTGATAGTGATGAGGATGAATTAAAAACTATCAAGAAAAATATTACATGGATTAATGACTGTCTAAAAGAAATTATAGATCTAAATAAACATTCAAATACAATGAAACGAAAGAGTATTGTTCAACAACCAACAGTCGATGATGATGATGAAATACAACGATCACATCCAGAAGCAACATTCAGGTAGGAGAAAGATGCTGAATAGAGTAGGGCTGGATGAGTCCGAGTCAAGGTGGGAAGATTTTTTGGTAAACTCAGACTTGGACTGGAGATTTTTTTTTGAAGAACTCGAACTCGAACTTGTGTTTTTTGTATTTCGAGTCCGATTGATTCAACTTTTAACATAAATGAACAGAGAAATTCGCATTTTTTCAATATTAGTATAGGATATATAGACTCAGATCTGTTACTCTCTTTAAAAATTTCAATAAGGACAACGAAAAAAGTTTGAAAAAATTATGGAACTCGAAATGGATTAAGGACTCTGACTCGTGCTTGGTTTGCTTTGCTTCATGACTTCGACTTGGCACACACACCCCGAACCAGCCCACTCTCTAGAAAAATTCGTAGCTTACAAAACGAATATCGATTTTGGCATTTGCTCTTAATAGAAACAGATATCCGTATCGTAATTCCTCCCCCTCCGAATAGAAGGCCACTCTGGAGCGGAAATTTTTGAAAAACGCCATATAGGACAGTTTTTCACCAAAAAAAGTGCGATGTGCGAAATCATCACGGAAGACCCATGGCCTTCTATTCTGGGGGAGGAGGTGTTCCAGTCTTGCTTAACCGTTTCGCACAATACACCTGAACGTTTTTTGCCTTGTGAAGAAACAGATTTAATTTTCGTACCAGAGGAAAAACGTTCAAGCGTATTCTTAAAGGTTAAACAGGACTGTACGCTACGGATATTGGTTTCTATTAGAAGCAAATGCCAAAACCGTTATTAGTAAGCTACGGATTATTTTTAGAGAGCAGCTCTGAAATAGAGTAACAATGAGGATATTCTATTTTTTGACATTTATAGACCTGTTTTTTATTTCCTCTAGTCAACAAGAACAAACCTACTGGAATAAAGATGTTACATTAATCAGTGGTGCAACTAAATCTGTTCAGAATTGCGGTCGTTGTGTTATTGTCTGTTCAAATTCGAAAGATATTGAACATGGTAATAAAATAAAATTAAACTTAAATGATTCAGGTATTCAATGTGATTTACGTCTTTGTTCTATTTATAAATCAACACAAGTTATTCTTAAACTGTTAGCACAATATACATATGAGCATCGTCGTCCAACTGTATTCGTTACCGTGGGTAATATTAATAATGGTTTAGCCATGGTATTATCGGCTAATTCTCAGTATCCGATTATTCATTGTTTTGTTATGAATGATACACCAACGACAAATAATATTTTTGATATTAATTCATTTATTACGGAGAATATTTCGTATTCATTAGTATTTTCAATACAAAGTGCAGTAAAAAATGTCATGCAAATATTATCGATACAAGACTGGAGACTATGGTGTAAACAACGTGGAAAACGTTTACGATCATACATTGATTTATTAGTTGCCGATCAACAATTAATTAGTATGAGTTATAAAACCACGTAAAAAGTATTGCACTTGTACTAAGCATCAAGCTATGTTAGATTTACATTTTGTTTAAATTGTACACGTACTTAGTTATTCCAAATTATAATCACAATTGAAGTAGCTTTTGAGGAGATGTCATTGATTTTATCTTGGATATTTTTCCTTCTTGTTAATGTATATTGTTTGTAAACGATGTGATAATATGCCCATCAACAAAAAATATTTGTATAATTCTGTAATAAATAGACTTCAATCAACCAGGAGATCATACAATAATAACTAAAACCTTGAATAACTAAAATTGTCGTGCTTATTATCAGAGCAACTCTATTTAATTAAAAAGATTCATTGAACATAAGTATACTCTTATGAAACATGACTGTAAATATATTAATCAATCATTTAATGATGATGTATATTATGACTGACAAGTAATACTCTAACATCTATTATCATTTCAAATATACCGTCAAGAAATTCTGATAAAGTAGCCAACATGATGAGTGCTTTAAAGAATGGACCTCTACTTATCAATTTTCATAATGACTGTTATTACAAAAATATGTTTAAGAACAAGAAAAATGTCGGACGATAACAGACTGTATTATTTTTATTTGTGATAGTTGATTTTCAATACAATGACAAAAATTTTCATGAGCTAATCCTAACACTAAATTAAATCGGTTGAAAAATCATTTATCAACTCAAATGACTGAATAAAAAACGTCAATTTACACAATATGTTTGTATTTGTCTTTCACGACGATCGAGGAGACTTACAAGAGAAGGCAACTAAATATCATACAGCTTTTCGCTTAAAAAACATCTAGACATATGCAGTCAATGGTGCTGAAAATCATAGTGGATGCTGTCCATCGACCTGTGGAGACCGTTCGTCAAAAAAACAGATGTCTAGATTCAACCGTTTATGAACTAAACTGGATTTTGATCTTGTCAGTTTGTCGATGACGTTGCGTTAAATAAGTGAGAAGATTTTCATGACTGTATGATGAGTTTTAACAAAGTTATGGATAGTTTAATTTTTGGCACTCGCATAACTGCATAAGCGTAAGGCTGTCCTAAAAAAAGCACAAAACTTTGTTGAAACCTTGAATTCAGACTACTTCAAGAAGATCAATCATCTAAATCAATTTCGTTGTTGAGAACTGTGTTATTAACTTTAATTTTTTCTTCTCTTATTTTTTCTCAAATTCGTTCATATTTCAACACCATTAATGTATGAGCGTATGTATGTCAGACAACAAAATGTATGAGCATTTGATGTGTGTGTGTGTGTCTCTCAGTTATATATATATGCATGCTTTATTCATCTAATTAGAAATGAAAAGTGGTCGGATATATAAATAAAACTGCGGGCATCACTTACAGGTAGAAGAAGTAGATGGTGGCTCTGTTTTACAAAACTGTACACAATATCAAAAAGAACTATTGTTCAAACTACAAGGGTTTTCTTCTGTCTTGATCGTAGCATACATCCCGACAAGAGCAAATAGACAAAAAATGCTGATGCTAATCAAATCTCGAGATTAAAATAGATTTAGATTAAGATCATTTTAACTATTTCTTCTTAATCATTTATTTCAGATGCAACAAACAAAGATAATATTGCAACAGTAACTCTTTGAACAACAAATAATAAAGCTGAAATTAACTCATTTATAATAAAATAAAGACGGCACATAACCAACTACGAAAGAAAAGGTGCCCGTGAATATTCATTTTTTTCGAAAGTTTTATAAGAAGTTTTAAGACTAAAATTTTAGTTTCTAAGCAAGAATGCATTATGATAGTAGAGACTTTGCGCCTACAATATAATTAGATTACGCGCGTTTTTGTATACTCAAATTGAAGATACCACCATATTCTACTATGCTGAAGCAGCTCTTCGAGATTGGTTGTTTATTCAAATGTAGCTATAATGCAAGGTGCTGACTTTGATTGGAATACGTCGTCTTTCTGAAGGATACCTCTTGAACATTCAAATCTATGATTATTGTTTGTATATATAAAATTTTCAAGAGTGTAGATTTGAGTGATCTAATTAATGGAAAATATGTTATAGAATGGTAACACAAAAGAAACAATGTGTGTGTTGTTCACGACATCAACGGTAAAAATAGAATACAATTATTTTCGTCTTAGAACAATTAAATTCATGTGGAAGATTAGTTCTCTCTTTATTCTTCTTCTGTTCTATTAAAGTTTATTCAGTTTCAGAAAAGCTAATGGATTATGCGCATGCTTCAGTTTCTTTTGCTTCGTACATATTGGATCGGGTATCCATGTTGAAGGTGGAAATGGACCCTCAACAAAACCAAAATAAGCCACTTTTTCGTTACTGCTACGTGAAATACCAGCAGGCCAACATCCATGTTCGCTAGAAGGCTTAACATAAGAGTCAAATCTAAAATCACCATTTTGCCAATGGTTACAGGTAAAACCTGAAACGTCAGTTGCACATGATACATTTGCCGCTACAAAATCTTCACTTTGATTAAAGGTGTTACCAAAACACCAATCATTCCAAAAATCGAGACCATATAAATCACATGTACCAGCATTGATATTATGATAATATTGTCGTCCAGACGTAAAATTCATCCACATGTTAAATCTACCATCTTCCGTTGTATTTCCCTTGCCACTACCAGCCATTAAGAACACTCTCATCATTTTTGACGGTTGATCATAAAATATTACACCAGAACTTCTATGGTCAGTTTTTGGTATGAACTAGTTCGAATATGATACAGTATCTAATTACTTTGTCTGTTTAGTCAAATTTCTTATAAATTTTATTCAAATGAAGTTAACATGTGTTGACTAATTTTTGCCGCCAAATATCACGTATTTTGTAAATTACCATTATATTATGAAGAAAGACAGTTGAAAAACTTGGTGGTGCACAACAATCATGAGGATCGTTTTGCTTTTCTTTTCTCATCTTGGTCTGTTGTATACGTTTTTTGGCTTGTTCAATAATTTGTTCATTCACCACTTCTTTAGTTAATTCAACATCTGAACATTGATAAAATATTGTACCACGATCATCTTCATCCAAATTATTTGACAAATATCGAACACGTATAACACATTTTTCACATGTCACATCTGGCAACATAACATCTAATGAAAAATTAGTTTGTGTTATTTGATTCATTGCATTATAATCATTAACAGAAGCTAATACTTCAAAATCTGATTCTGATGGATGTTCACCCAAAGCAAATGATACGTCCAATTTGCCAGGATTTTGTGTATAATAATGATTTAAATTTTGTTGAAATTCAATTGTATACGCTTTTCCCGCTGTTAATTTTGTTCGTTTATCAATTGTATCCACATCACCACATGGTGCTAATTTACGATAACACGTATGATCACCAGGTATCGAAATACTAAAGTTACCACGTTGCATCGGTTGCCATAGACAAATATGACAAGAGACGGTGGATAAAAACAAAATAATTAAGAGAAACTGATGCATGGTGACACTTGTTGGAAAGAATGACCTTCTCATTTCTTTCTTTAAAAATAACATATATATATATATATATATATGTGACTAGAAATGATAAGAGAACGAAAATAAGTGAGGCAAACAAACAGTTGTTTATAACAAAAGACGTTTATATTTTTTCTCACTGGTCATGCTCATATTTCACAAATAATAAAAGTCAAATTTTTAATAAAAATATGGACAGTTCCTGCCTTAGAAATTTTTGATCAAGTTTTCTAGAAGCCTAGTAAAATAACACCTAGAAATAGTAAAATGCAAAATGTGTATAGAATGCACATGATTTCAGATTGAATATAGATCAGTACATCGAAATATGCTCTATTTTTGGATATGCTGCTTTCCACGTTCTAACGAATCGTCTATTTTTTATATGCTCATACACCAGAGAATGAGTTATAATAACTAAGTCATCACTTTTACTTGAGCTAATAAATTCAGACGAACATTGTTGCAAAAATACCGATTTTCACGAACTTCAAAAGGTTGTCATAACCTTCCCGTCTCGAAATACCAACTCTTCTCACTTACATTTTAAAGTGGTAGACACTTAGGGCTATCTTTAATAACAAATCTGACTGTAGATGGGAACCAGCAAGTTTTTTGAGTCGTATGTATTTCTGAGAATTGCCAACTGTTCAAGCTTTTTTTCTTCAAACAAACGGCAGATTTGTCAGCTACGCCAAAAATTGCATTGAGTAAAATATTCTATCAAACATTTTTAGTATAAAGATCACTTCAAACATTTCTTTAAAGAAGTTTTTATCGAAATCTTAAATAAACTTAATTTTTTCTGTATTCTTGTTCACGCTGACAGTTGACAAGGGATATCCCGTTGGTTCAAAACGTTTCCAAGAAAGACTCTTTTTTATAACATGCGTAATAGAATATTCACGGGCACCTTTTCTTTCGTAGTTGATTATGTGCCGTCTTTATTTTATTATAAATGAGTTATAGATATAGATCTTAGACAAGTTATCTAATGCTTATTGTCTCGAAACCTTTGAACACATATGCAATAGGCTAACCCGATTTTGGTGCCATTGAATTGGAGAGATGAAAGTTAAAGCTAAAAAGTAAACAAAATTTCATTTTTTGATCATTAAGGAAGATAATTGTGTGAGCTAGTTTAATATCATTTTTAATTCATGCCAATCTCAAGTTTTAGCGAGTAGCTGGATTATTAATAGTTATCTTTATCATTCGATGAATATAGATAGCAAAAGTTGTCTAATTTCTCTGTGAAATCAACTTTATCATCAAATATGTAAGGAATAAAACAGTTATGCCTATCTCTTTTGTCGATCATGACATTCGAACCTTAACTAGTTTATATCTACACTCAGAAAAAACAAGATTTAATTCATAGTAATACATACAAATTCATTATCACAGTGACGAGAAACCAACAACAAAAACAAAACAGTTGAGTAAGAACAACAAACACAAAAAAAACATCCAATCAAATTGAATTATATCAATTGGCAGTATGTGAATACTTAACCCAAGAACAATAAGAAAATTTATGTGCACCATATATAAATTTATCCAGTGAGTTAAAAAGGCACTTAAAATAAATTAAAAAATATTAAAATTTTTGTTATTCATGTTGCCATCGATCATTCCATGTTGGTTTTCGTCTTGCCGAAGATGCTCGACTACTCGATCGACTATGTCTATGACCAGATAGAGGTCTGGTAGCTGAATTTGGTCGAGATCCGGCAGCACTCGTTAAATTGGATGTTGATGATGTTGCTCGTGTCTGTATAAATGAGTTCAACGTTGGATTATTTGCTGATGATGGTGGTAGTTGATGTGCAGATTTAACACGAGAATAAAAGATCGAAGCACTGCTTGGTCGACTGGAAGAACGAGATGAGGGTCCAGTTTGAATGGGAGTTGATTTTCCACTTGGTGTATTGCCAACAGAGACATAACCAATTTGTCGATCATAATAGGAGAGTAATTCATCACGATTTAGACTTTTTGTAGCACGTGTTTGTTGTAAACGATTTAATATTTTCTAAAACAAATAATAAAATTATATAAAGTTTAATTAAAAATGACTGTAGAAAATAATTATATTTTTAAAAAAATGTATTTATGAATTTGAAAAATATACAAATATCTCATAGTTAAACTTTCTAATAATTATTGAATAGTTTAGTTCTGTAATCATGTTTGATATCATAAATCAACATTTCGTCTCAATTAAGTTTCACTCATGGATGGTGAAAATAGAAAAAAAAATAATATAACTAATAAAACAGATGATGCAATAATAAAAAAAAATGAAAGATACATCGAGAAGTAATAACCAAAGGTTCACGATTTACAAATTTTCAGTGTCTTAAACGAGATAGACCATTAGCTATGGAAGATATTGTAGTACATCCTTTCTCAACTCATTTTCTAGTCTCTATCGTCCAGTTTTTTTTGTTTTTTTTTGGTAGTCACTGAGCTGCGATATCCGTTTTACTATTCTAGCCTTTATTGATCAATGGATAAATAAATAAATTTTAACCTCTTTTGTCTCCATTTATTTACTTTATCATCATATAGCAGCACTGTTACTGAAATCAATAGTCTAACCATTGAATAACATTCGATTAACAAAGAGTTTAATTTGTCGAGATTCCATCTTTTATGAATTTTATGAATTTTATCTAAATATTCTAATAAATCAATTGATATTTCTACATAAACACTGCCAGAATCATAAGATAAACCATAAAGCGCATAAGTTCCATTCGTTCAAGACGAATTTATATTAATTTTGTTTTTTCAGAAACTCTAAAAAATAACTAAAATCTTTCTTAAGGAGATACAATTGTAGCCCGCAAATTTCTGATTAAAAGAAGACATCTCCCAGCTCTACACGATCTTTCTTTGCAAAGTTATAGAATTTACAAGAAAACCCTAAATGTTCATTGTCAGCTCATAGCTACAGAAATAAGAAGAAATTAATTTAGGGCTTTTCTTGTAAATTCTATAACTTTGGAAAGAAAGGTCGTATAGAGCTGGGAGATGTCTCATTTTAATCAGAAATTTGTGGGCTACAATTATACCTCATTAAGAAAGATTTTAGTTATTTTTAAGGGTTTCTCATCAGGTCTTCTTAACTAAAAAAACCGGGTCGTCAAGAGTCATGAGGGAAAATCCTTTTTGGCTTTTTACTAGCTCGATACCCTCTATCATAAACGAACGAAATCGGAAGGTATCAGTTGGATAGGTTTCCTCATGAGACGAAATAATGTTGATTTATCACAACAAACATGAATACGGAACTAAAGTGTTAAATAATCAACAAATTTCATGAGAAAAAAACAACATTTCTAATAATAGTTAAGATTCAAATTAATGATCACTCAATGATCGAATAGTGCTCGTTCTATCAAAAGGTTTAACGTTTTGAACACATAGTGATCATATCGTGAAAATTTCATCGAATATTAACAAGTTTCTACTTCAGTTTTGAGCATCGTCTATTTACACAGACAATGACTCTTCATTTCAACAACTTCTGATGATATGAATGAATAAGAAATATTATTAAACATAATAACGAGATACACAGAAGAATTTTTCTATTTTTTTTCGAAATACATACCATATTCTCTTTTTCAATTCGTTGTTGTTCTTTTTGCCTATTTAAAGCTGACGATGTTACTCTTACTCGTTGATTGGTAGAGCCACCGATAAATGGTTGTTGTTGATTACGATTACTGACATTAATCAACTGTCTCAGTAAACGTTTATTTTCTTGATCAATTGTGGACAGAATTTGTTCGTCAGAGAAATGTAAACGAACACGTTTTTTCTTTGCCGAAACAGATGTAGGAGTGTGAACGGGCGTCGAATAATGACCGGATGTTTGAGGACGACTTTCTAGAAAACATATGAATATTGTAAAAAGTGATCAAAGTTTGAATGATACAAATATTCGAAATTGTAGATGAATAATTATTAAAAAGCTCGAAGAATTTGTTATTTATAACAATAAATTACAAATTCTAATTTTCTTTCTACTAAAACATAACAAAAACATAAAGTAGTAGAAATTTAACTGAGATTAGCTAATATGAATAGTTATTGGCATTTGTCATATTGTACTATATTCAATTTAAAACTAAATAAGTAATTAAAAATGCTTTTTTATATTGAAAATAAACAGAGAACGTTTACTTTTAAGGGCCCCCCTCAGAAATTATCTCCTACACCGTGCATCCGATCTTGACGAAACTTTCCATAAATGTTCGGCACAATGAGTTACTGGAATGAAAAAAAATTTTTGTCTCCAAGTCTTACGGTTTAAGAGTTTTCCAGAGATCAAGGTCCAAAAAGAACCCGGAACAGCGTCCCAAGATTTTTAATATACTTCAAGCTGGAGAGTTCGGGTTTGGTTTATTTTAAACTAGACACCTAACTACATCGACTGACCGGCGCCGATTTTTCAATTAAGCCTTTATTGGTTTTCCAGGCAACCAACAACCTGTG